TCCTTCTTGGAATGCGCAAAAATTCTTTCCATTGTTTTCCGTTAACAAATGTCGCGCCGGACCGTTGTCACAAAAAACTCGACTCTTCAAAATCGTTTTCAATTTGTTTTCACGTTTTTCTCTCATTCATCCTTCCTAGAAATGCTTTTATACCGTATTTTGCTTAAACCTTATTATTAATCCACCCTAGCAATGTCAAATTAAGCAGTAACTCCTCAAAGTATAAGATCTACATTGAATTAAATGATATCGAAATGAATAAGTTCTTAACAACACATACAATCTCACAACGGATCAACTTTGGATTGTGACGAGTCTATTAAATCTTTATTATTAATAATCTTTCTTATATCTTTATATTAGTGAAAATAAAATTAAATCTTTAAGGAACTTAAAGACTTGCGATCGAATAAAAGATTAATAAAGTTTGTTTTTTTTAATTTAAAATATTAGATCTTAATAGATCACGTGACATGGTGCCAAGAACGCTTAGCTGCATTTCCTCACCAAGCGCTGAGTGAGCTTTTAGCGAGAAATAAACAAGGCCTCTTGTCACCAGCCGCGGCGATAACTGTAGGGCGTAAAATTTAATAAACTTTCGCTGTACGGAGACCCCACTGATCTATAGTTTCTACAACATATGCAAAAATAATTTATTTTAAAAATATATGACACATTTTTTTTATTTGCACCACTTACTTCAGCTGCCTGCGATGCCACCCCGGTCCTATTTTTTTTAAATCGTTTTATTTCACTTGCTTAGTTTCCGCTCGGAAATAGGAAATAGGACCAAAATCACGCTTTAGTTTTTAAGATGAATAAATAATTTATAAATACGAAATATGTGAATATAGTTATCATTTTCGTGTTTTCGTAAGAGTAAATTATAAGGTACTGTACACTGGTACAGAAAAGACAAAACGCCCCGAATGACAGGATGTTTTGTTTGAAGCTTTTCGAGTTGCTTAAGTCTTAATTCAATCGACACATGAAATCAAAATGAAATATACGAAACCGACGATCATTGGAAACGACTTATTGGTATATTTATTTATTTATTTATTCATAGCATCACAAAGCAGAATGACAACGTATTTAAATATTAATATAAGAGCAATATAATTTAAGGTCATGAAGCATTTAAGGCTGCTTTCAATCTCCGTTTAAATATGAACAGATAGTCACCTGAAATATCCAGCTCAGGATATTTCAGGACCAGGGAGTTATAGTTGCAGCTAATTCTAGGTAGAGGTTTACTGTAAGTTACGTTTGTACGATGAGTTGGAACATAAAACAATTAAAATTTCCTTAAATTGCACAAGGGTACATTAAGGACCTACATTTCCAAGGAGTTCAGTTTTTAAGTAACCTCTCAGTATTTTAGTAAACATTAACTATATAAGATGTGAGAATACGCTTCATCCTCAGACGATATGAAAGAGTTCGGAAAAATTTTGCCTGAATACTTTCAAGACGATCTATATGCACCACGTAGTAAGCATTCCAAACAATACTGCAGTACTCCTGCTTACCACGAATTAAACTATTGAAGACTTTTACATATGATTCATGTGTGCGAAAACCTTTTCAACATCGGGAATTAAAGCCAAGCGTCTTGTTACAAGTATTGAGTAAGTAATCATAATGGTCCCTAAATCATAGCGTGTACTCCATGACTATTCTTAAATCTCTTGCCATAGTTTTCCAATCTAAGTCCATATGATTGATAGAATACTGAAATTCAGTTTTCTTCACAGCGCTAGATGAGAAATTAATACAGAAGCATTTTTGGACATTGAGAATAATGTGGTTGTTATTACACCATGTCGTGATTAAATCCAAATCTCGTTGCAATAGTTTGCAATCTTCATTGGTATTAATAATACGAAATACTTTTAAATCATCCAAGTATACATGAAATGGAATATAAATTATATTGTGGAAGCATATTATGATTCCAAAATATAATTTATATAAATAAACATTAAAATTATCTTTCAATACGTTTGACGTTCTTGCTTATCATTGAAGAAAATCAGTCTTTACTACGCAATTTATATTGATTAGTTCTGGGAACAACCCACGAAAATTCAGAAATGGTTTCGCCTATACAAAGATGAAGAGTTTCGAAGCCACATTCATTAATCAAATTGCTTACAAGAGGGTACACAAATCTCGGTCGTTAGTCGTACCATACCGTAACATGGATATAAGCACTAATATATTTTGCTACTATACATCAAATGTAATGGGCCGCTTGAACAACTTTGGTTTGGCTTAGAAATGTGCGTATGGTTTTAATGTGTAATTATTTTTAACAAATCACTATATTTGAATAACTGTTTAAATTTTTAATTGTAGTATGAGTCATTTATTCAAAACTGTATCCTTTTATTATCCCGATCCTGGATATTAAACTGTTTGATAAGAAAGCTAATAATCATGTTTATTATTCAAGTGAAAAATTCCGTCCGAATATTACGTTAAGAAAAACTCTTGTCATCCCTTTTTTTGGCTCACAACATTAGCGAACTAAATGCATTGACATATAAAAAGACGTACTAAAAATAATGAAAAGAAACGTAAATACGTTTTGATTATGGTAGGACCGCGCTTAGCAACGTACGAATTGGCAGGTCCGTCCGGGGAAGTACCAAAACTTCACAGAAGGATGGCATGAAGTGGAAGTTTTATACTTCTGCGTTTCGTCAGTGACCACTGGTGGCAACGCTTCAGCAACCCACGGGAGTTGCAAATGTCCATGGGCGCTGGTTATCACTTAACTTCAGGTAAGCCATTAGCTTGCTTGCCACCGTATTCGTATTCAGCCACTAGTGTCCCACTGTTGGGCAAAGCCCTCCTTCCATTTCTTCCACTCCTCCCTGTCGTGGGCTATACCAGACCAATCCACCGGAAATGCGTCCAGTTGGTCGCGCCATCTCCGTCTGGGCCTGCCGCGTGCCCGTCTTACATTTTGTGGGACCCATGCGGTAGCAGATTTGGCCCAGAAGGTTTCAGGCATGCGGTAGACATGACCAGCTCAAAAGCTCAGCGCCAAGCATTGCTTCTAATGCTAAATAAAAACCAATGTAGATAAAAGACGTTAAGATTTTCGTCGGTGTGGCAATCAGCCGTTTAGCTTAGCGGCTAAAGCGTCAGGCCGCGAATGCCGAAGACGTGGGTTCGATTCCCACAGCGGCGACAATCTTTTCGTACGTTTTTTTTTTTCTACATATTATTTTAATAACCAGCTCAGTCAAATTTAAGCTTGGCGGCTTTTTCGCCCGCATCGGAAATTCGCGTTCGGGAGCGCAGTGTGTCTTTTCATACATTATTGTTTGCCACATCATTTTACATTATCTCACATAAAAAGTAAAAGTTAGTTTAGGAAGTGTATATAAAGCTGCTCATAATAAGTAACAGTCATTAATAACATTCCCGTAGTGTCTTTCTAGTGTCTGGGTGTATATATTTATAGTATGTATTTATTTACTAGGTAACTGATAAAATTTTTGTTTGAGAACTAGAAAACCTTGCATTAAAAATGTGTCCTAAAATATTTAAAAATAATATGTTAGCTAGCTATTTGTACATGCTTTGATATGTCATAAGTGTGCCATTAGAAATGGGATAACCACGTCGTTAGGATATGATTTTTAGTAATTTTTAGCACTAATTTTAATTTTAATTAAAGCATTTTACTAGAATCAAATTGATCAAGTAAATAAACAAACGCCAAATAATAATTTAATCATAAACTATTCCCCAGTCGAACAATTGGAGATTTGCATTATTATTTCATTAGAAATTAATGGGTGTTAAATTGTTGTGCCGATTCAGAAAAATGTGACAGCAGAATTATCACTCGCAAAATACTTTTTATTTTCCGTAACGCAAAGTAATAAGTAATTTCAGAAAATTCAATTAAATGCCAGTTGAAAACTATTTGTTTGTATATACATGAAAAGTGAACTGTTTATTAAAACAATGCGATATATAAACCTGTGCACATAGCAGATAGAACAATGTTTCTCGTAGGCACTGCTCTATTAAACGGGACAACTATGTTGGTGCTTTGTGATGAAATCTAAACACTCTTTTTTTCAAATAGAACACAGTTGGAGTAAAACAAAACACATTCGCATTCATGCAAAAGGCGCAAGGCTTAAACGTTTGCGCGGTAACCTTTTCATGCGGCGGGTTATACAGACGGTGTCTCCACTGTGCCTGGGTGCTACAGCGCTACGGACAGCCAGTTTTCTACGAAACGCGCTACGCGGCGGACCCGTGTTTCAGTTCCGTGTTTTTCGTTTGTTAACCGAAGTGTCGTGAGTAATTGTTAAAGACAGTGAATGGGATAATTGAATTAAATAGAATTTTATCACGTGATGAGATGCTGTAATTGATTATGTTATTAATCGCGATTAATCAATCTTTCTAAATGACATACAATTTTCTATTCGCAAGTATGAGGCACCTTTGTTACGACAGGTAGTTTATTTTGTAGATTATAAATGTAAAGAGAAAAGAAATGTTGCATGATACGTAAGTATTTCCAAAACACGTTGACGCTATTGAATGTTTATTATACTCATCAACTTGTATGTCATAATAACTTGTAAGGATTTCATTAACAAACAGTGTATAGAAAAATAATAAGTGTATTGAAACTAATTTATTATTGATTAAATATCAGGAAAAATATTCATGTCTTGCTCCAATTGAAATTTAAAATTAAATAATATTGAATATTTCTGTTTTGGATATTTTCTTGATTCATCTATGAAAATAAATCCATTTAAAAGTATTAATAAGTAATAAATGATGTATCATGGTAGTGTGTGCAAATTATTATTGTTAGTGTTCTGATAGAAGAGCTCAAAATTATGTTATCTATGGAATCAATGGACCTACAAAAACAAGAAATGAGGTGTTTCGAGTGACTATTTGTAACAATTCTTGTTAGCGGGATGAGGACCGGAAAGTCTTGTTTTTGGACGATGCTACAAGCCCTCGCCTTCCTTCCTTCGATGGCTTTAAAAGGTGAGTTAAAAGCTCTTAAACGTTATTCATAGTTTGGCAGCACCAAGCAGCAGCGTTTGCTGCATGAGTCAACCATCTCTATCGCGGAAGTTCTAAGGTTGTGAAGACAGACGTGAAAGTGAATATTTTTAATTTCGTTTCATTAGTGGATTAATCCATCCCATTCTCTAAAAGGACGCACACGCGTGAGATCCAAATATGATTTCGGAGATAGGCTTTAGAAATTTCTTTTGAGCTGTAGTTTTAAGAGAGATTTTAATTTGAGGAAGTTGAGTTGAGTTAATTTGAAGAGTTGTTCTTAAAAGTCAACATTAGCACTTTAAACTTTTAACAAGTATTTCCATATTAAATCTACCATTTGTTCATTTAGTTTTTAGGGTCCGTACCCAAAGGGTGAAACTGACCTTATTAATAAGACTACGCTGTCTGTCTGTCCAGCTGTTATCAGGCCTTATCTCATGAATCGTGACAGTTAGACAGAGAATTTTTCACAGATGATGTATTTCGGTTGCCGCTATAACAGCAAATACTACAAAATAGAATTAAAAAAAAATAAGTGGGGTTCCCATACAACAGAAATTATTTTTTTGGCGTTTTTATAGATAATGGTACGGAACCCTCCGTGCGGGAGTCCGACTTGGCCAGTATTTTTTTTTTACTTTTACACAAATACCACATTTTATTAAATAAAAGTAGCTAAGAAGCTATAAGTATCACAGTTAGTCTTTGTTTGCCATGTAATTATTAATCCATTTTATTTTGGGTTCACTGCGACATTTACCTATCCGGCATTAGAATTCGGTGACAGGTGCAAACCGCTCCAATACCCCAGCGTTACACTACGTCACATGTCCCGGTTCTTTTTTTTTTGACGCTGTCTATTGCAGAGTTAGGGTCACGATAATGGTGCACGTGTATTTAATGAGTATTGTAATTGCGCCAAAATCATCGTAATTCGGTTTTAATATTCTGCTACTTTATTCCTGGTGTGTTAAATCTAATTTAAATCGTTTTCATATGTTCAGATTATAACCTATTTGTGTGACCCACAGATAATTGTTCCGAATCTGGGTGTTAGTCCCCGAGAAATTTATGTATGTAAAACGTCTCTTACAACACAGGATAGTGTGATCCTAAAGTAAGGGCAATGCTTTTAAAAAAAAAAGAATAACCGGAAAAAAATCATAAATTATTTCGTTGTTCCACCACAAATGAAAGATCTCCTTCGTCATTGTTTAAAGGTGACTATAATAAAAAAATATTATTGTTTAAAACCTATCCATACTCCTATAACTCATTAGGTTAGAAGCAATACCAGTGTTCTTTCATGGTATTTTATCAATGGTATTTTATCTTAGTTAAAATTAACTGCTTGCTAAATAAATTAATATTTAGGACACATTTTTACACAACTTTCTCTAGTTTTAGTGCAAACGTTGACGTTTGCAAATTTCATAGGGTTGCAGACGCCACCCTTTAAAAAACTGGGCCCGGTTAATTTAGTCACAAGACCAAACACACAAGTATAACACTTCCAATTCACGCCAGCCTTATGGTAGGTCGTGGCACTTCCTGACGAGCCTGCCCATTTGTGCAACAATTTAATGCTGCATGGCCCCACCATATTATTATTTTATTGCGTTTTATTCTAGCATTAATTCCTCATGTTTCGAGGGATATAGGTCCATACCCACACATATTCCCTGGAAAAATCTATAAAATTGTTAATAATTAATCATTTCCCAATTTATAACATACCATTATTTCGTATTATTTAACGTTTTATTATAAACAAAGACATACTGTACACAGTTAAGAAGATAAATGATTATCTTATCTTATTAAACCATCTTTAGACTTCGTGAAAATACGATAAAATATTTTTTTTTACATTTTCCCTGTCCTCCGTAATAGATTACAAAACGAGACGTTGCCGTTAAGACGAAGACGTGCTTTTATTGATTGCATTTAGATTGATAACCTGTCAAAGCAACTTGCGAACGTAGATGTTTATTTCATCCAATCTTTGTCAATTGCGAAGACTTTGCATACAAAGTACATATAAGTACATAATAGATGACGACTGGGATTAATCATACGTACTTAATATAGATATTCACATAAACAGTGTATCGTTTACTCTATGCTCTAGTTCTAAGGCGCAGTATTGAGAGCGATAACACTAATAATCACGATCGATAACATATAAGTTACCTTAAAACAAAACTGGCATAGTGCGATTCGTACTCGCACACGAAGGGTTCCGTACCATTACCTATAAACAAGGCTAAAAAATCACGTCTGTTGTATGGGAGTCGTGGGAGGAGTGTTGGATGGAATCAAATATTTTTTATTTGGTTTTTTAGTTGTTGTTATACAGACAACAGTTGTTACAACAGAAATACATCATCCGTGAAAATTTCAACTGTCTATCTCGGTTCATAAGACACAGCCTGGTGACAGACAGACAGCGGAGTCTTAGTAATAAGGTCCCGATTAACCCTTCATGTTCAGAAACCTAAAAACAAAGAGATATTAGGAAAATAGACTATAAAATATGCGTTTTCAATGTCATTCTTTCTGCAGACTCGCAGACAACAACGAAAAAAATCACGGAAGAACCGGAGTTCGAAAGGCCTATTGGAAACCACACTTTCTTTCTTGGACGGGAGGCTGTAATTGGATGCGCTGTTAGCAATCTGGGCAAGCATAAGGTGAGAAATATTTTTATTTTAGTATTCCATGTCATATACAATTTTATATCCCGGTACAAATTAAAGTTAATCGCAATTTTAGGTTCTGATTCAGTGCGTGCTTATTGAAATTTTATTTGACTAATTAAGCTTTACATATGTATATGTAGCTCTAGTTATTGAGATTAGTAGATCGCAATCAAAATACTAGGTCTAAGCATTCAGCCTGTTAAACACAATCAATTAAATAAATAATTTGTTAACAGCAATCAATTATTCGGTTAATATATGTTATGGCATATTTTGATTTAAAAATAATAAAAATTTAATGAAATTCATTTCGTCCGTTTTACTTTTCATTTTTTTTTATATATCAATTCAAGGATATGAGACACATAAAAGTACTTGTTCATAGTTTTAAAAGAAAGGGTTCAGAATGGATTATGGTAGCTGAACTTTGAATTGACGGTTAGGCATCTTACAATATTGTATAAGCGGCGTTTCTTTTAATGAAAGCAACGGTTTCTTAATTAAAAAGCATGAATTAAAAATAAGCAACATATAATTTTATTGTAAAAAAAAATGTCCATAACCTTTTATACCTCTAATGCTATAGCTACTTATACAGACAGTTCTTTTAAGATGGATTTTAAACGTAATTTTTTAATAATATTTTCGTGTTATATGAGAGCTGAACGGATGATTTTGTTGAAAAATGCAGCATACATTTCCAACAAAATCTGTTATGCTCAAGTTCCGAAAGCTGTCATTCTGAAACAAAATTTCAATTCCTATGGGATGCAACTGGAGTGTAATTGTGTTATTAATAATTTTCAACACTAAATAGCTAAATCGATTTAAAAGTTTTAGCTAAAGATATCAAAGTAACAAACAGATAAAAAAATTTCCGTGGTAAAACATATATCCTGTACAGTTAACTACTTAAAACGTAGCACGTTGATTAGCAATGAATTCATTACAAACAATCCTTTAAAACAAAACCTATAAGAACACCAAAAATCGAAAACTACTATGAAGCATATATTAATAGTAAGTTAAGCATGTCGTTTGAAATGCTTATGTCATCACCCGATATGTAGGTTTATGCTTATGGTTTCACGCTAACGCATATCTCCATTATAAACACCATGTTATAACAACTTACTATCAACCAGTATTTAACTGCTTGAACACAATTTAATAACTCAACATATAAAAACGACCCTCGAATGTAATGGATATTCATTATGTATACGAATTTGATTCATCTTTCTTTCACCCTGAAACAGAGCATGAATCGGTATGATTTCACCAGGAATTATTTCACAGCCCGGAATGAATGTGTTATACTTTTTATCTTGGAGAAATTCACAGTCATACACACGGAACGAATTTTAAGCTAAACCCGAAAACATTTTAATGGATTCGTTGGGTATATACATCATATACATCCATTAAACAATGCGTCGTTTAAATTTGACTAAAGGGTCTCAAAGTGGTGACTCAAATTTGAAAGATAAAACCAAAAGCATTCGTAAGGTTGTTCAAATGGTGTAAGAGATGACATATCTTGTATTTCTAATAAAACTTAACAAATTATCTGAAATAATCAGAATGTTTCGATAAATACCTTATTTTGAGCAATTTTCATTAGAAAAAGAAAACATGATGAAATGACATACAGATCAATCCGACAATTTCAGTGTTATATCATAGGTTTGCAGTGGCAAATTATCAAACGGATAACTATCTTATATATAAAAATGGATTGCTGTTCGTTAGTCTAGCTAAAAATCGAGAACAGCTGGACCGATTTGGCTAATTTTGGTTTTGAAATATTTGTGGCAGTCCATGAAAGGTTTAAACGATGAGAAATTATAGAAAAATTGCATGGAGAATCGTAATAGCAACAATTTTATTTCCCTATACAAACTGTACCTGTCAACAAATCAACAATGTCTATGTAACCTGTCAAACACTTTATGCGTGCGTTCCAATTCCTCTAGAAATAATTTATATGGCAAAACAACGTTTGCCGAGTCAGCTAGTAGCTACATAAAAAAGGACACTTCCTCCTACAAGGCTTACGACACATAGAAACAAGAAATAGTCGACAATTTTTTTCCTATTTCACCTGAAATAACGATGATATATGATTTCTCTGTGAAATATGAATTCTTCTCCGAATACTTTCATCTTCTGATAAAGTCTCGAAACAAGTTAAATTGAAGCTTGCTTGAAGTACCACAACCTTGCAGAGCATTTCGTCTGGCTATTGAGGGAACTGGAGCCCACTTTATTAGCACGGTTATCGCTTAACATCCAGGTGTAGGTGAACCTCGTTTGCCTTCTCCCATAAAAAAATCGTTCCTTTACAATTTTTTTGAAGTTAGTAATTGATTTCTTGAGATCTTTGAGAAGATTTTCAACATTTTCTGGGATTTTGTTCTCAAACCCTATACATGGATTGTCATATAAAAGAAAATCAGTTATTCGAAGCAGTCTAGTTTTAGGAAGAATTAATTGATGTTTGTTTCTGGTACTTATATCATGCACATTATTATGTCTCGAAAATTCCTACTCCTATTTTTAAGAATATACATAACATTTTCAAGTATGTACTGAGAGGCAACAGTCAATATTAATATTTTATAATCTCTTTGGCCAAATTTTTTGTGGTTATCTCTTCTACACAAGTAAGCTGTTTTATTTTTTTAAGCTTAGCTAAGTCTACGCGCCTGTTTATTAATATGGGGGCCCCATGTCAGTTTGGCATCTATAGTTTTGCCAAATACAGTCGAGTCAACACTCAGTCGAGTCAATTCCACATATAAAAGTACACCAGTTTTTACATTTTTCACATTAGGAGTTGGAAATTGAGTACATTTAGTTTTTTTATTGTTCAACGGTATGTTGATAACACTAAAAAAATGCATTACAGCGGAATGAGTATTGTTTACATCATCATAAATTAAAGAATTGCGTTTAATTTGAAAACTAAAAAAGCATCATCAACAAACAGTACTATCTCGCGATTATTATTAACGAATTAAGGCAAATTATTTATGTAGATGAAGAAGAGACCCAAGGATAGATACTGTCCTGATTGTTTACCAGGGCCCCGAGAAATGATTTTTTTGCCATTCTCATCAACTCTACAGTCTGCATTTACATTTTCACTTATTTTACGAACCTAACGTTGGCATAATGGACAGAAACATAACTAAGGCAATCAACAATAGTAAAATACTGGAAAAAAAGAATATTCAATAAAACGATTATAATGATTTTAGTTATGAAAGAACAGACTTTGGTGGAATCGATCTGTTTTGTAAGCAATAATCAGATAAGAGCTCTTCGTAGAAATTCGAGTCCGAAGCGAGTTCTTAATAGCTTTGATTATTTGCTACGTTTAAGTAAATATAAAATGTTTATTATTTACAAAACACTTTTTGCGGTAATGAAAACGTTTGTGTAGAATTAGAGGGTGAAACTATCATCAAATGCAGGCTGTATATTATATACGAATGAAAGAGAGCCACCGTTTTAAAGAGCAAAACGTACATGATGTCGTTGTATGAAGATTGTCAAATAATCGTAAAAAAATATGTGTTTTAACCGTTACAGGGATATTACGGTTATTCTTGCGGTTCCTGTCTCGACAACAGCACTATATTGACATCAATCCCAAACAATTATTTATGTTTTTGTCCCAGATTCCTATGATACGAGTATGTAAGTTCAATGTTGCCTGTTAAAAGATATTACAAGGAAAAAACCGATAGGTTTTAGCTTCTATATCTTGGAAAACCCTTCTAGATTGACTGTGTCACTCCGCGATTTGGTGAAAGCCTGGTAGCAGAGTGTTGATAAGTTAACTTCGGGTGAACCATCTGATTATTTTCCATTTATTTAAATAAAAAATCTTATAACTCAAATAGTTATCAAAACAATTACTTTCATTGTATTATTATCTACGTACTTAGAGATTATTACTAGATCCTTTTTAGGCTCTCCTGAGTTGAGACTAACAGAGAACCGTCTTTTACCTAAACCTTAAAGTAATGACTGTATTTTCTTTTACATAATTTTGCGAATTTATCATTGTAAAACTTACTAACGACCTTCGGGCCTTGAAACTTAGTCGTTTAAGTTGATCAATGGCCCCACGGTAATCTGCTATAGCTGAAACTTGTACCAGGGTGTAAGAAGTGAATCTAATAGATGTTCATTAAGTTAACAACTACTATGATAAGTAGCAATGGGGAGCTGATTCCGTTCTAAAACCAAATGCCTCATTAATTTTTATTTTAGTATAATTGTAAGAGCAAAAATTCCGAACCGAAGCTTTTCTTACATGGGCTAAAATGAATTTAAATGTAGGCTGCTACTTTGAATTCACTATAAGACGTTTTTCTTAAATAATCTTACAGTCCTGCAATCCACGTTTTGTTTATGTTAATTTGCAAGAAGCGTTAAGTATCAAACTATTGTTTTCGTGTTAATTTAAATTATTAAACAATTACGCAATCCCTTACGCAATTTGCTATATATATCATCACTATTGTTTTTATTCTTATATGTGACTTATCAACTACCAACTTATTTCATTGAAAGATGATAAAAGTAAACAATACGCAAAATAATTACAAACAGTGAATGCAGGTGAAGTATTTTGAGATAATCATTTGTACATGTACAATAATAAGTAATTAGGGGAGAGAAAACAAATAAATAGTCCGAAATTATTTTATTTTTTATTTTATTTTATTGTTGTAACAAAATCCACAGCACTTTTTTTAAAATATATCTAAATCTTATTACTAAACCTTAAAGCCAATTTGGATTTACATTATTCTGCTAAATAATTTGTTTAGTGCATGCCATCGACAAACTTTTTGCGAAACAAAATTACAAAAAGCATTGAATTACTTGCACTAAATTGAAGTAAATAAAAAAGAATTTGAATATCAAAATATTCCTTAGATTTTAATAGCCTCATACAACATCAACCAATGAATGATATACAAATTAAGGCTATTTCGGAAATCAGCTAATTATTTAGGTCCTAAGACCTAAAAAATATGAAACCAACTAAACAAATACATATTAAATTTTAGGATATGATTGTTTAGTTGGTTTGATACATTTCAATAATAGCATAAAAATGTACCAAAATGACGAAGATATGCGTCGTTGACTGTGAGTTGTACTTTCAAAGGTAGATTATGGTGAAGCCATTAGTTTTCAAATAACTAACCTTACGACGTACCAAATATCGTAAGTACCATTAAATTATTATGTTAGCGAAGACGTGCCCACCTGCAAATACCTAATGCCTTTTTCAATTTAAGTCGTGTGAATAAGAACAAGAAAAAAACGGAACAATGGCAGCTAATCGAAAAAGAAAGAACAACAAGATATCATAGCGTAAAAGAAAAACAAAAGGGGACAGAACAAGAGTGAAATACACTAGCTTACCTGAGCAGTGTAATGCTAACTGGTACATTTTAAGTAATTAGCTCCGGGTAGTACTCATATAATTCATTGATTAATACACCCCCTATTTGTAATGTTTCAAAGATTTAATGATGCATGTGATAGAGAATAAAATAAGAGTTTGATGTTAAAAATGGATGACAGATAATACAGCTTTTAAATTTTCTTCAAGATTCCTCAAAACAAGTAATAGGAACTTAGCGAAAGTGAAAATCAAATTCTGGTTTTCCGATACCGACAAACTTGGTAATTAATTGTAATTATAAATACTTTAATTTAAGACTATCATGGTGGTGAAGGGTGAGAAAAGTTGTGTGTCTGTGATTTGTAAATGCAAATGTTCTTAAATTTTAATTTTCATCGGTAATCATTTAAAATTAGGTGAATTGCCAGGTTGTTTGAAAACTTTAAACGTTAATATCATATTTAACGTTTTTTTTTAAGTATAAACTGTTGTAGTTTAGGTCTAAAATTAAGGTATTATATTAATAATGGTTGAGAACACATTTTTAACCCCTGGAGTGCTGTAAAGTGTCAATGAGCAGCGATAATCACTTAACATCAGGTGTAACATCGGCGCGCTTGCAAACTTTTTCACATAAAAAAGTAATGAGGTTGATTTTAAAATGCTATTGGTTGTCAGACTATTTTTGTTGCTACGTATTCTACATAAAATATAGTATGTTTGGATAGAAAACAAATTCAAACATAACATATATTGCAATCCCTTTTGTGATTTCATCTCCATTTCATTTATTTTTGTAAGGGAAATGTTTTCGAAAACTAAAAAAAAAGACAAAAGATTTCACAGTTTCTTTAATGTTTCGAAATTTATACGATTTTCTAGGTAAAAGTTGTAAAGTTTCAATCTACATCCTTTTTAAATGTTCCATGCTGCAGATTTCTTTGATAAACTCGTTTTTACCTGTTTATTACCGGAATAGTCTAAAATTAGTTTTGTAAATTTTACAGCTCTCTAAACCCTCTTTCTTCTCTTTTTAACACCAAACTATAAAGTACGTAACAAACTATACATATCAATTGCCTTCTTTCTGTTGGAGAAATCATTTGAATACCTGCACACAGAGTCTTAAAGTAAGTATTCTCTTCTTAAAATAAGTTGTCTTATTGGGTAGTAAAAGTTGCTTTGCAGTTTGGCTCTATCTGCTCAGTCATAAGAACTTTGTCAATCCCTTGGAAGTCGGGACAGCTAGAGCTAGCAACAGGCCTGCTGGCTCCCAGCGACGTATTTAGTATTTTGGTTCCCTATTGGGAAGAGACGGTAGATCTATATATTAACAAAAAAAATCTATCACGGTTTTTTTACATAAGTGTTTATAAAATAGACCTCCCCTTTTGCCAAACATTGAGACTATGGTGATTTTATGTCTTAAATAAATATTAAATTGAGAAAATCGACAATTTTCATAATTCGATAACTCTCATGAAACGTGGAAACTCAACAAAAGCAAGTTTAGAAACTTATGTTTATTGAGTTTGTTTCGCCTGTCTCAGTGGCTTTTTCCGAATCAGTTGTAGTATTTTAACAATAAATAAATAAGTGTAATGCTTCTATATTCAATGTCTAATTCGAATGTGGAACAATTTTAATCATACTGCTTTTTCAATCACAATTAACCTATCTTAATCATAATTCTACGATATACTGTTTTATTTTTTTTGATCTAATGACTTCTTGTTTTAAATGAAACCTACACCATTGTTAAATAAATCTATTTTAAGGGCCTTGTAGCTTTTATGGCGAATTTTGATAATCACTTTTTATTAACAACTAATTAAGAACTGTTTGTCAGGCTGGTGGGCTTTAATCACCGCGTCTCACTTCTAACTCTTAAATTGATTATCATGCCATTTCGGATATTTTATTAAATGTCTTCAGATTGAATAACAAGTTATTATAATTATATTTCTGATGAAAAACAAGTTATTACTGTGGTAGGGACCACGCAACAGTGTTGCACTTAATGGGCAGGTTCGTCCGGGTATGTACCACGACCTCACAGAAGATCGTCGTAAAGTAGAAGTGTTACACTTCCGCGTTTCGTCTGGTGAGTGAGGTAGCCGGGGCCCACATTATTTAAAGGTGGCATCGCATCTGCAACCCTACGATTGTTGCAAATTTCCATGGGCGGCGGCTATCACTTTACATCAGGTACACCAGCTCGTTTGCGATTTCTCATTAAAAAATCACGTGCCTATTTAGAAGTCGTCTCATCTTCTTATTTAGGTGGGCTGGCTCCGTGCCGAAGACCAGACGGTGCTGACGATGCACGATCGAGCGGTGCTGGGCCCGCGATACACCGTGAACCTCGACGCGCCGCAGACGTGGCAGCTCCGCATCAGACCGCTGCGGGCCGAAGACCGCGGCTGCTACATGTGCCAGATCAACACCCAGCCAACGATGATATGGCAGATCGGCTGCATCGACGTCTTCGGTAAATTTTCGTGATTTTCAACCTTGGACTGACCAGTGCTTGGCGTACTGACCGAATGGCGATACAGATGCTAGTGGTAAAACCACCAGCTTAAACGTAGGTACTGTAAATTGACTTAATTTCGGGTTTTTTGTTTCGGTTCATTACATTTTTTTTAAATTGTATTATAATTTTAGATCTTTTTTAGACTTTATACGGGCTATTTATGTCTTGAGTCCAAGTGAATAACAAAGAAATATACCACATTGCGTCGGGGCTATAGTGACACTGGAAGTAGCGGGGCTTAAACTGGCTAAAACCAGAAAGTCGTTTCTTGGCAGATTTATTAACAGTTATAATGAATAGGTTATTTTCGAATATCACCTATTATAATGTCGAAGAATACATTGAAGATAAGACCGCGTGGAAATGATACTTTAACCTTTTTTTTATCCTTTACCTTTTTGTTTAGATTTTATACCTAAATAATTTAGTAAATTTGTATCATTAAAAATAAGATATAAAGACCGCAGAGTTTCTTGCCGATTCTTTTCTAGATTGGTCTAGTTTAGTGAGCCGGTGGTTTTTTGACATTCAATAAGAGCTTAAAATAAGTCTATATTTAATAAAGAAATTATGACTTTGACTTTGGCGCCACTTTTAAAACTCGAAAATCAGTAGTAGGATATTGTAATCAGATTTAGTGGACACAGAGGTATTATATACAAATACGAGGTAGATATGACACGAGTGCACCGAAATTGAGGTACTCAAATTACACCAATTGGTGTAATTAGATTGCAGTTATCATACGTTCTATATCATCTCTCACGTTTACTTTTATATGTCGTAAAATGTAAAGCGGAACAATTTTTAAACGCTACGCAGTATGAAAATGCGTCATCTTAATTTAAAATATCATTGGACGCAGGGCGAAAGTATGGACACCACTTCACTGTAAAAATTGTTCATTAATAAGGAACTGGGATTCAAAAACCGTTCCTGTCAATTTCGACACCAGCAACGCAAACTTCAAAAATTGACATATAACAAATTGAGTTCTTAAAGTTTTGTAAGTAGTGTTTCAGGAATAGCGCCAATTTTTACTGGATGTGAAAGCAAAAAATAAAATTTCGCAATAGCATGGAACCACCGAGCATAGAATTCCAATTAAATCCTTGCGTACAGCTTCAAAGCGTCAAAACTCAAAGACGCAAAATGCAAACGGGGAGTTTCTTTTGGTAAACTGAATAATACGAGTATGTTCGTACATATCACTACATAGTATAAACAAAGTCGTCCCGCTGTCTGTCTATCCCTATGTATGCTTAGATCTTTAAAACTACGCAACGGATCTTGATGCTGTTCTTTTTACTAGATAGAGTGATTCAAGAGGAAGGTTTATATGTATGTAAAGAAAAATATTGTTTTCTTTTATTTAAATATTTTCTTTAATTTAAATATTTTCGCGCATCGGACGCTAGTAAAATTTATTTTAAAAACTATGGTTGATGCCGGATTATAACAGAAAAAGAATTAAGCTGTCATATGAAACAATTCATGGATATAATTTTATTACAAAAATACTTAATAAGTAAAATCGTGATTTAGGAATCGACATTGTGATTAATAACATTAAATGTCGTTTCTTTACTTACAGAGAAACTCAATTGTGTTTTTATTGCTGTGTCATCCAAATCACTGAAAAATATTATCTTGTATGTATATAATACATTGCACCATTGCGAAGCCGGGGTGGGTCGTTAGCAACACATAAACACAACAGGCAAGCGGTTGGAATGAACGACTTGCAATCTACAAGATGTTGAGTTCGCTAACTTACTTAAACTTAAAATCAGTGGATTTCAATGGGTACGGTGTATCACAACCGACTAATCACTCTTTGGACTAAATAAACTTGAATTTATATATAAAACATCTAATATTTATCATTTCTCGTATATAAAAGATAATGTTGGCGGCACCATACAATCTAGCCGAATAGAATTCCGAAATCACTCCAAGTGGATTAAAAAGGCGCGTATCTTTGCAGTGCTCTCGTATATTTTCAATATTGCCACCGCGCCCTATCGAATAGCGTTTGCTGGATGGCTTCTAGGCCAGGTAAGACGAGGCTGATCGATCGACAGCAAAACCGGCACCACGGCGAGGGATCGGTTAAACTTTGAGTAATGTTGTCGAAATAGCGTTTGTGTTTATAAAAACATTACTTTTTCTCTATATAACTGTATTAACCTTTGGAAATTTGAACTACTTCTTAAACCTACTTATTACAAGCTGGTTCAAGAGTCCCACACATCCTTTTACTAGTTTATAGTTTTGTTATGTTAACTTTTATACAAAATTGCGTAGAGTAAAAACAATGTTATCTCTACACCCACCAAAATAGTGATTAAAAGCTTTGGTGTAGAATAATGTCTGAACATTAGTAGGTATGTAACAATATGAAATTTGTAACATTGTTTCTGTTTCATTTATTCGAATTAATTAAAGTTTTAATCTTAATTAAATAAATACAGATCAAAATATAATTATTAAGACATTAGAAGTAATGAAATATATTTTGTTATTTCTAATGTCTTAATGATGGTGACCAGAATAATAACAGCAACGTAAATTATTTAATTCAAAGAGACAATATCCGCTCCTTGCACACTAAGATACAAGTTTATATGTAGTTTGAACAAACAGTCCACATGATTCAAGCTGAAAATAAAAGAAACAATGGTTTCATCTTTTATTCAATATAAAAATCGCTTACATGACGAGTTTAAAGATTGAATTGAATGGTACATATTGAATAAACCTACAAGGATTTTCTTGCACAAGTATTTGAAATATAGACAAGTAGTAGGAAAATGTCCTGTATCGTAACTATACGCAATAGACATAATTTATATCTTTTCCCTAAACACCAAATGAGATAGATATCTCCTTAAAAGAAGGTTATGTAATTAATTATTAATTACGTACTGAGTGAACATATATTTTTTTATTTGCAAGAGAAAACAAATCACTTTTGGGGTAGATGTTTTATGACTAATAGTATTGTAGCGCGTAAGGGCTCAACACGTCGTGTTTGCTTTCGTGACGCAGGGACAGAATAAAGGTAGGATGAATATTGAAACAGATTACGGTCAGTGGAAAAACTTTGCTTGTTTTTATCATTTTTCATCATCATTAGTTAAAATGTACTAAGATTAATAAATTATTACTATGACCATAGAGCAAGTATTCGTTTTATTTTATGTCAGAGGGTGGCAAGCGAGAATGCGGTTCACCTGATGTTAAGTTATAATTGATAAGTCGGGGCTCACTTTATTATAAGGTGACAACGCATATGCAAACCTACGGATGTAGCAAATGTCAATGGGCGTCGGTTATCACTTTTTTATGTGAGTCATTATTGGATATAGATTTAGACGTGTTGGCGCTGGCAACACTGTATACTGAATATGATGTTATCTACTCGAGCGAAGGGACACATGGTCGCATGGAGCAGCGGTCACTTGGGTTTCGGCCGCGTTCCCGGACGGTGATATAATTACTAGTACTGCTTGTCATTATAATAGTTGTTAATATTCAAGTTCAGTAATAGTAAAAATATTGGGATCAAGGTAAAAACGTTAGAACTCTTATAGATGTTATCCGATTCTGTGTTGGTTCTCTGTTTCAAATCGGTAACTTACTCAAAATACGGTACTCAAAGCACGGTTGGGCTTTACCAATTTAACGAGGAAAATTGTTGTCTTTTACTTGTTGCCGGTATAGGGTGAAATGTCACAATCACCACTATCCCTTTTAGTACATGATAGACTATGACACTGGGTACTATTAGACAATCAATTTAATTTGTCAAACGGATGAACATACATTACATTAAAATTAAATTGATTTAAATTTCTCGTCATGAAGTAAGGAATGTCATATACGCCCTACGTTTATCTCGAACTCCGTGGCCCCACCATACAAACGTAACACGGAGGAGTTTAGCAATATTGTAGTTCCAACATTTGCATGCAACGACGAAGTGGGGCGAGATTTCTTTTTCAATTTCGAACTTGTACAGGCGCTTTATTGAGGTGGGAAGTTGCAGCGCCGTCGAGATGATTTCTTACAGAATGAAATTTCGACGATTACATTTTTATAACCTAACTCTTTAAAATGTATAGTGATTATGGAATAGAATTAAAAGTTATTTTTGCTATTAAAATATGTAGAAAAAGTGCGAAAAGATTGTCGCCGCTGTGGGAATCGAACCCACGTCTTCGGCATTCGCGGCCTGACGCTCTAGCCACTGAGCTAAACGGCTGATTGACACACCGACGAAAATCTTAACGCATTCTTCCACATTGTTTTCTTAGCATTTGAAGCAATGCTTGGCGCCATCTATTGTTATATTCCCACAGCGGCGACAATCTTTTCGCACTTTTTCTACATATTTTAATGTTCAATCTTAAGTGCAAAAATTAGCACTATAAACAATTTAAATTTATTTTTGCTATGTTATATTTTTTTTAAATACCGTTAACATTCCAATTAGATATAAGCATGTGTGTTAAAAGTTATTCCATTCAATCAAACCAACTCAATATTCAACCGATATGGTTAAATCTATCAAAATACAAATCAATGGTAACAGAACATTTTGTACATTTGTAGTAAGTAATACACGCGCATTAAGAAAGAAAAATATGGACATGTCGTTTATAAGTCCAATAAAAGGTATTAGTTACAGTTGACGGACATTTCATATTATCATCGGCGTTAAAAAAATCATATAATTAAGTTGGGATATCATAATAACATATATATCATTATAACCATCTTGCCAAACTGCCGTTTCCACGACCAGAAAAGAACGGTATCAAATACAATCTTAGCAAGTTAAGCTTCCTTCTCATCACTGGTTTTGTAGCTAATTTTATTTTATTTTGTGCATTAGAGGCAAATCTCGTATGTCGATGAAGCAACACCGCTTCGAATTTATCAAGCTGCCCGAACCCAACCCCGAAATGTCCGAAAGTTTTGCAATTTACTTTTATACGCGACGATTTCCACGAGTCTAGGAGCTGTCGCGATCCCTCCCCGAATCCCGACTCGTTCCAAATTCCAAACGCGAGCGTCTGTGGTGACTTTTTCATCGAATGACATCGATTTGTTACAGTTCTACTGTTTTACGAAGACAGGTTAGTTATTATTCTTGGTAGGGGGCGCACATGAATTTTCTTAAGTTTTGGTTATGTAAGCATTCTTTTACGTATTTCGACTACGGGTATGATGTAGAAAATTTCCTAGTTTATAACAGATCTTTGCCCATTTCCTTTTTTGTCCAATGAAGGGTGTAAATTTATTTTCGTGGATAAGTTTTTCTCGTTAGGTTAAGGAAGTCTAGAAAAATCTCTTTTAATTGCTGTCGATATAGTTACGACAAGGAATCGTAGAGTAATGGGCAGATTTATGAAATTACTCTTGTATGTAGCAACTGTGTCATCAAAATTGTGTTACTGTCCCTTAAAAGCTTTACCACACATTGAGAATGCATGCATGCATTATTGTTATTCGATGTCAAATCGACACCATGTTTTACCACATATAATCAATTGGGTGTATTAATTATGAAGAGTACGACACGCTTGAGACTGTCCTGCTTTCTGCGTTTCTTAACTAAATTTAAAACTCCAACTTGTAAATATAAACAAAATAAATTGAACTGGTCAAAGGACTCCGCATAGTTCAACCAAAGAGCCGTGGTCTTCTAATCCTACCAAAGCATACTCATATGCATTCTCGGGGCAAGTACTTCAAATTTAAAAGCAAATATCGGATATGGTTTATAAATCTGCTTTCATTGATTTCTAGTAATTTCAGCATTACCTAATAGGTTTTAAATATTGTTAGATGTAAAAATATAATTATGTAATATATATATGTATATAATACAGAGAACAATTTAATGTAAATTTCTGTCGTCTTTTCTCCCGAACTGAATTGATTGTTGAAATATTGTTGTCTCGCTAACAGAATAACAGATTTGGTGCACCTTAAGTGCTACTGCTTTTGTTCTAGGTGGCGCTTATCACTTAACATCAGGTGAACCGCCTTCCCGTTTGCCACTTTGTCACATAAAAAAATACTTTTTTTCTGTATGTAAATGACAATGTCTGTATATGTAAGGCAAAGAAAAGATAAACCATAATTACTCTTATAATTAAATTTCTTTAGTAAAATTTTTGAGTATAAATCGGTATGAGTTATAAAATTAACGAATGTATAGTTAGAATTATGTTGCAATATAGATGTGAAGTACTAGTAAACATTTATTTCTATTTATACTTTTTGTCTGGTTTAAAAAAAATCAAAAAGAATATGCAAAAACGCCTTTAGATTGTTCTCGTAATAAAAAAAAATACTTTGCTAGCTTAATTTTGAACATGAGAATAAACATGCCCCTCGGAACATTAAAATCCATTTAAACAAGGAGAAATTGTTTAAAAATAGGCGATACAATCCTGAAACCGTCCAAATCGAATAATTGTTTACATCGCTTTCGTTTAAATTAATTGCCGCTTCTATTTTAATTAAATGGCCTTTGTTTTAATTGATGTTCTTTAACGAGCGAGCGGCAACTAATTAGTAGAAGGAAGCAACGGGCTTGTTAATGTTGCCCTATAATTGCACCCGTTTGACTATTCAAAAGATTTTTTTGAAATAAAGTTTTTAAATTATGGAAAATGAGCTATGTGTTGCACCACTGTTCATTCAGCGACAACATCTAGGCAGTCAATTTGGTTAAAGTGCAAATCATTAAAAAATAATGGCACTATTGGCATTATAGAAAAGCCATCAGCTCTATGCTAGCTCCCATATTGGAATAAAAAGAAGCCCACGTTGGTAACAATTGATGACTCCGTGGCGCAGTTGCCAAGTTATTGGCTACGGCGTCGGGGGTCGTGGGTTCGATTCCCACACGGGACAACTATTTGTGTGACCCACAGATAGTTGTTTCGCATCTGGGTGTTTGTCCGCGTGAAATTTATGTTTGTACAACGTCCTTTACAACACAGGATAATATTATCCTAAAGTAAGGGCAGTGTTTTTTTAAGAAAAAACCGAAAAAACCAAAAATTAATGATTTCCTAAAAAAATGAAAAAATCTATATTAATGACAATTTAGAGATATTTAAGTTATCCACCTGGGTCAGCAATGTGGATTTGGACAATAATATTAAAACGAACATTGACGACATTAATAAGAAACATTACGACTACCAGCAACTAACTATTGGATAAATACAGACAATACTATAAAATATTTGCGGATGCGTCAATAAAAGACAATGAAATTGGTGCCGCTTTTTATGACCCGGTCACTAAAATATCTATGAAATTCAAAATAACTCGCAGGATTTCAATAATGCATGCTGAACTGATAGCGCTTTTAGGAGCATTGCATTACATAGATTCTATAACACAAACCAATTTCTTAATAGTAACGGATTCTCGTAGTGCCTTACAGTTGCTCAAACGTTGTACATCTACTACGTGGTACTACTATACCTATAGCATACAATATAATAGAAACAATTTGTAAATTTAAAACAATCAATAAACATGTTGTATTGCAGTGGGTCCCGTCCCATGTTAGTATAATAGGCAATGAAATCGTCGATCAGTTGGCCAAAGAAGCATCAAACAGCGGAGAAACATACTCATGTGATCCATTTTATAAAGAAATGTACTATAAAATTAAACAGAATTGTTTTAGCACTTGGCATGAATATTCCAATGAACGTAGTCGCAGTAAACGAATATGATATGCTACGATTCAACCTAACATTTTAAAACATACGTGGATTGACAATATCAACATTGGACGACAAACAATCATAACGGCTCTCCGACTTCGCTCTGGGCACATTCCTTTGAACAAATTCGCTTTTTTGATGGGACAAGCCCAATCCCAGAACTGTACAATCTGCAATACAAGTGAAGATGTATACCATACAATAATGGAATGCTCCCGTAGCGAACCGGAGAGAAGAGATCTTTGTAATTTAGTACATAATTTTTTCAAAACTTGAGTATGTAATACAGTCCTTGCAAATCCATCATCTGATTCTGCCAGGTTACTTTATAGAATTGTTAACTTACGAATAAGACGCAGAGGTGGTTTAAATTGATCTATGTAAATCCAATTTAGTTTTGTTTTTTGTAATCTTGTGAACACAATGAGGGTGGCATAATCTGTAACCCTTTTTAAAAATAAAGAGAAAAAAAAGTATTTAAAACAAACAATTTATCAGGTTACTAATAAATCAGTGTGCTGAAAGATGTCATTAAATTTTATATTGATCAAAAATGTTAGGATAAATGAACAATATATTATTATTTTGCCTTTTATTATAATATTTAACAATAGCTTTAGTATTCTGTATTTCGTTCACTTAATAAAAAGACAGCAAGAATTATTTTCGAATATGAGCCCTCAATTTTTAATAAAATATTAAGGACGCACGCCCTATACCTTATGGAACAACGAATAAAAATGTTATAAATAGTCGGAGCCGATCCTTTTCACAACAAAAAATTCAGAATCAAGGCTCGAAGTTAGTTTACTCGCAGTATCGACACATGGATATAAAATTATGTTCATAGAGTACTTTTGAAGCTTGCTTTGCATTTATGAATAAGTACAGAGATATTCCTATCCTGTGATAAAAAATGGATTGGTTGTGATCTATTCATAGGCTCGAAAAACGTTAAAACTAAACCAAGTATAAAAGCGAAAGCCTTAGAGTCGTCGACGTAGAAACAGTGCCTACTTGCTATTTATGTTACAAATATTAAATAATTTAGATTGTAATGTTTTTATTATTTTTTTATTAACAGTGTCTGTTAATTGTCATAAATAAAACTGTTACAATACCTGTGGGGTTGCAAATATGTTTCCGTGTCTTTGGGACCGAGATATTTACTCGAATGAATCTGCCCATTCGTGGCACAGTTAAAGCTGCTTAGCCTTACCCCAATAAAGTATGTTTTTTATGGTGAGAAAGTGGCATATGAGCTGGGGGTTCACCTGATGTTAATGATAACCGCCGCCCATGAACACCTTTAAATAAAGTGGGTCCCGGCTACCTCACTCACCAGACGAAACGCTAGTGTAACACTTCTACTTTGCGCAGGTCTTCTGTGAGGTCGTGGCACTTACCCGGACGGACCTGCTCATTCGTGCAACAGTGAATACTGTTGCGTGGCCCTACCGCAAGTTAGGTCATGTTAATGCACCGTTTTTTTTTGTAAATAATCAGTTATATTTTTCTATCACGTTCGCAACAACTTACATGATTATGTATGCATTTTTCTTTAATGCGTAAGAAGTGTCGTATCCGTGCTATTACTTCTCAAGTTTATTTAACTGCTACAGCAAAGACTTTACCGCAGTGCCGCCGGACATCATCAGCGATGATACGTCATCAGACGTCTCAGTGCAGGAGTTGGAGAATGCGACGCTAAGCTGCAAAGCAACAGGTCACCCGCCGCCGAAAATCACCTGGCGGCGAGAGGACCATGAGCCCATTCTGCTGAAAAAGCTACAATCGCGGGAATTCGAGAAAGGTATCCGCCATGTTATTAATTTTTGGTTGTCGTCGGTTTCTTTTTTTTTTACCGAGTTCTAAAAAGAAGAAGGTATTTTTATGTGTGTTCGCGTATAACTTCGTCGTTTATGAAACGATTTTAATGATTATTTTTTTGTTGGAAAGGAGATATCCCAAGAGTGGTACAATGATAAGGAAACCCAAATCGGATGAATGGCATCCCAGAGAAATCGAGGGCAATCCTCAAATGTTATAGGTATTAACAATGTTTTTAGTTTCCGGTTTGAAGTCTGTTTTTTTTTTAAATATATTTTATTTGTCTTTTTTAGGGTTTCGTACCTAAAGGTTAAAACGGTCAATATTACTAAGACTCCGCTGTCTGTCTGTCCGTCTGTCACCAGGAACCTTCATCTCATGAACCGTGATACTTAGACAGTTGAAATTTTCACAGATGATTTGTATTTCTGTTACCACTATATCAACAGATACTAAAAACAGAATAAAAAAATTAAGTGGGGCTCCCATATAACAGACATGACTTTTTTTGCAGTTTTTATACGTACGGAACCCGTCGTACGCGATTCCGACGCGATATCTTTTTGCGTCGGTGATAAAGCGTTTTAAACACGCAAAACGACTTTTCTCTCTCGCCTTTACAGGGTGGAAGTCCCTATGTACTGTGTAGTAGATACGTTTGATACCGGCATGGCCGCAGCTAGATTCGGAAATTATATCTAAAGCTCTTACAGAAATTTGTCATCGTCACCAGAAACTCTCAAATTATATAATCAACAAAAATTAATTAATCTTAAAGTCTATGTAGTGAATCTTCAGTTCGATGAAACATTATAATACACTGAGCTGTTTTATTATTTTTTTTTTCATCCAGATAGTATTAATATTAACAAGATAGTACATTAGATATGGGACCCGCCCGATGAACTTTTAGTACCTCAGCATTTTCACGGAATATTCCGTGATTTTAGGCCCACGTTGGCAGCCAGCCCTCGTTTTCGTATGTGGAACAGCGAGTCGCAGGTGTGTTTGCAAATTGCTGCCGGGAAAGTCTGCGCGAGATGGTTCTCGCTTTTATTCTTAGCGACGTAACTATTTCAAAGTTAAATATCGTTGAAAACCGCTCCGCATATTTCGTTCACGGAATATGAGATACGCCACATTTTAATGTTGTGTCGGATTTTTAAAACGTATTTAGGGTAATGCCTGCGTTGTGTGGAGTGTAAAAAGTTCATTTCGTACGATACAAACATTATGTATAATCCATTAGTATTGTTGTTAAACTTCCGTTTTTAGAACGCCAAGGAAAACATTAAAAGATCGTCTACTTTGTTTCCGTTTTTATGTACCTATGTTATTATTAACAGGTTTAATTTATATGCTATAGTGATTTTGCAGATGGGATGACACTAGCGAAATAAGATTATTATTTTGAACCACTCTTTTAAGAAATTATCCTCATTTAGTATATATTTTTATTTATATATACATTTAGTTCTTAGTTGTGTACTTAATGAACACTGTGACTCTCTACCCTAATATAATAAGAGAGCTAATGTCGGCAGAGCTTCGTTTTTCCAATAAGCTTTGTTCAACTCCATATTGTAGTTATCTCCTTTGTATAAACCTTATATATCTTTTACCTTTGTATATCGATTAAGCATGATCCACGTAACTATGACTGATTATTGTTTTGCAGTGGAAAGCTACGTGGGTAGCTCCTTGCCTTTATTGCGGGTCGATCGAAGGCAAATGGGTACATTCCTTTGCATCGCGTCCAATGATGTGCCGCCTGCCGTTAGCAAAAGGATAACTCTTCTGGTCAACTGTGAGTTTTTTCAGATTTGAACAATAAATAATGATAGTTATTTAAGAACATAAACATGTTATGCGTTTCTAAGGTTCATGGATTTTTTTATTATAAGCAACTGCAAAGCTAGCTTTTTATTCATCATCATCATCAGACGCAAGACGTCCACTGTTGAACATACGCTACCCCCTTAGAACGCCACAACGTACGACACTATGCCATTTGCACCCACATCGTAAGAGTCGCACGCGACTCTTACGATGTCGTAGATCCACCTAGAGGGAGGCCTTCCGATGCTTTTTATTAAACGCCTTATATGTATTTCCCTTATATTTTATTTCATTTTTTAAAAACTTCCGTTTTTTTGGTGGAATCGCTGGTTCACCATCATCATCATCATCATTTCAGCCTGTTTGAGTCCACTCCTGAACATAGGCTTCCCCCACAGACTGCCACGAAGTACGTTTCTTAGCCGCCTGCATCTATCGACTACCGATCATATGCGCAGTGATGATCTGTGTTCGTCTAGTTTACTATATCATATACTTACATAATTTATAATAGAAATTTTTACCGTTACCTTCGAAACGTTATCCTGAAAAACTTACAACATAAAGTTTATATACATAATAATACCTATGTTTTATTGTAATTAAATATTATTTAATAAAACTTTGTTTTGAAAGAGGATTTAAACTTATCAAGACATACATTAGTGAATATAAACACGGTGATATTTTCAAATAATGTAATACGTTATAAGATAATATTATATAATGTAGTATTGAAACATTATTTGAATGGGTATAGTAATGGGAATAGTATGAATATTGATAGTAATAAATGTAACTTATAAGTTTCTAGTCTGAGATACGTAACTTATCATAGATGAAATCATCAAGAAATGCATGTACGCGGCATTACCTAAGGTTTTATTTTAAACAAAATTTATTACATCTTATTACATTAAAACTTTCTAAAGCGTGTTGCTTGCTGCGTCTTACACAGTAAATACTAAACCAGAAACGCTAATCAAAAATTAAAAAAAGGGTAGATATTACATTTCAAGCAATTTCTAATTTTAGTTATATTTTTACTTTTAATCTTTAACATTACAAAATATTTAAAAGTATTAGGATAAGGATTTATCCTTATCCTAATAGAAAAATCTAAACCAATAGTATCCCTATCCGGGGAAAAATATTGCGTCCATTTTACAAAGTTACTCTGAACAAATTAAGCAATTTCATTACGAAGATTGAGAAACGAAAAGCGGAGAGATCAGGGGAGGGACATACAATTATGTTTATTGACTTTTTTCATTTATTTTATATATTTAGGTTCGTGACATCTTCACTTGTATGAATTAAGCCGTTTTAAGTAAGCAATTCAATTTGTTCGAACACACGGAACAAAATTTTGCAGACGTGTGTATGAATATCTTTTCCGTATTTGAATATGCATCACATTTAATCTGTTGCATTAAAATCATTGAATTGTAGGACAAACCCGAAAATAGATATATGTCAAAGTGCGATGAACTGAAGCCGTTGGATAAGCTTTTTGGCCTATTTTTCTGTGAGTTCAGAAATGTATTTCATACCCTACTGTATCTTAATAAAAAGTTCATTTATTTCGTACATAAAGGTCTGTATGCAAAAGTTTTAAGTAAAATTTTCTATATATGCTACTTTTGCGGTTTATTTTACTTCCATATACGCATCGTGAGTAAGCCTGCATATTTATAAAAAAAAATCCAAAAACAAAAGTATTTCGAAGGTATGTGAAGTGGTGGACCGCAGTAAAGTGATGGAATATGCCTCAATACCCTCTATACAGAGGAGGTCTTTAACCACCTACGGCATATACATACATATTGCAATAATAAACATTTGATTCCACGGAGGAACGAAAAACTATCTTGTAGTAAAAGAAAATTTTATTTAAAAAAAAAACCGAATGAAAATAGAAGACGATGCACAAATATTTTTTTTATAAAAACAGTTGACACAGTTTTGACAAATTTATTTGAGTTTAAATTATGTAATTATGTTTAAATTTCGACTTAATATTACATGCTCAGTATTTAGTCTAATTATTATAAAATTATGGTAATTTTATGTTCCTTTTACTATAACTTACATGTAACATTTCATTGTTTCTTATGATAGTTGCACCAACGGTGAAAGTGCCGAACCAGCTGTTGGGTGCCCCACTTGGTACTGATGTCAAACTTAAGTGTTACGTGGAAGCTTATCCAAACACTATTAATTACTGGATCAAGAACAGAGGAGAAATGCTATTAGACGGGTAAATGTTGCTTAAGTAAATTTCAGCTTATTCTATTTTAATTTCCTTAAAATGATTACTTCGTATTAGCGTCTCGTCTAGTATAAAAAACAAATTGAGTTTAAATATATTTCGACGATTATCAGTTGATTTTCCTTTTGTTTCAGTCCAAAATACACGATAAGAGAAGAGAAAACTTCGTACAAGGTATCAATGTGGCTTACTATCAAGCAATTCTCTAAAAGCGATATTGGCACCTACAATTGTATCAGTACAAACTCCCTAGGCAAAAGTGAAGGAACTCTTCGATTATACGGTAGGGACTACAGTGAATTTCAGATACCAATGTACGTAATGTGAAAACTAGTTACAAATTTCATAAAAGTTTTTTTTTTTCAGAAATCAAACTAAATTCGCAATCAGAAGATTATAATAACCAAATTAGTGTGGCTGGTGGTACGTTCTTAATTTATTACTTACTTATTTATTTATTATATATTGCTTGTACTAGTGTAATATTTCGCAATAAATGAACTTTGGGTATATCAACTTTTGCATTTTCTGATAATCGTTAGAGTAATAATATTCGGTCCACCATTCGATCTAAAACTTACCGAAGTTATGCCGAATAATTCTGTCCAATAAGTTCTAACAAAAAGGCGAGGCACTATGTTGCCGGTGTGTTCGGATATAAGAAATTACTAGTAGATAATTCGGTATTCGAATTCTCTATATCCTTTACACAGATCTCTATATTTTATTTTGATTTGATTAAACAAAGCAACGGCTGTATTACATTATAATTAATACCTTTTTCATTAACTTATTTAGTTAAAAAAAAACTTACCACTAGTTTTTTTTTTTTTTTTTTTAAGTAAGAAGGTGGTAAGCGAAGTAGCAGTTCATCTGATGTTACGTGATAACCGCCGCACATTTGTAAAATCCGTAGGGTTGCAGCGTTGCAGGTTGAAGCGTTGTCATCTTTTAAAAAAGGGGGCCCCGGCTACCTCACTCAACAGACAAAAAGCAGAAATATAAGACTTCGGTCGTAGTACTTCCCCATACGGATCTGCCCATTCGTGGAACAGTGAGGGCTGTTGCGTGGTCCTATCATTGTTAAATTTATTTTATTTAGCCATTATTATTAATTCAAAATACAGCGTGTCGTTACCATCGCAACACTAAATGAACACACGTCTAACGCTACTTGCCAATAATCATAAAAAAATATTAACGTTAAAAAAATCCATAATTAAAAAAAAATATTTTTCAAACAAACTAATTAAGTACAAAAGAAACAAAATTTTTAACATCCTATACAACTCGCGGCACAGCGTCGCATTAGAGGCCTCTTCTTCTAACAGTATGTTTTGTCTCTTTTAAATTCATTCAACCCATTCATATGCTATGTGACCTTTACAAATGAACTTTACGTTACAGTTTTATACGTGGTTATATTAAGGGTGTTCTAAAATTGTTTGTTTTGGAAAATTTAATAACTCTGTAAATATTGATGTTTAAAGAGTTTAAGTTTTAAAGAGTCCGTGGGGGAGGCCTATGTTCAGCAGTGGACTCAAACAGGCTGAAATGATGATGATGATGATGAAAGAGTGTAAATATTTAATACAATTTAAAAAAGTTATTCTCTATATGTGTGTTCATTTATAGTCGCGATGGTAAAGACACGCTGTATATCTTGAATAAAGTTTTATTTTAATTTTGTCATATTATTGAATGATTATAACGTGCATTAAAATTCACTTTTTTATCGAGTTGAACATTTATTTGGCGAACATTGTCAAACGTTGAAAGAAAAAATATTAATTGTTTTTTTATTAAAATCAATATGAATATTGTTGTTTATTTGTATTGATTTTATTTTTTCTGAATACGCGATGACTACTTAAGATACCTAAGGTGTGTTTGTTTTAATTTTCAAATAATATATTCGGTCAATAAGTTATTTCTAAAAACCTACCTAAATCTTAAAATAATTCTGTTTATGACCGAATACGAACATGGAATGTTACGTCGAATATTCCACATACGAATACATACGAATATTCGGCGCAACTCTTCGCAATTGCATAAAATTCGCACTAATACAATAAATCAAAAGGTAGTGTAATGAGTTTAATTTTTACAATATGATTAATTAATGAAGTGCTTCTTCTTTGCAGGGCTAACAGAGGTGGCAAAGGGGCTATCAGAAGACCAACTTCCATCAGATAGGATATTAACACTGACAATATGCTGCCTAATGTTATCGAACATGTTTATGTAGACGTTGAATTGATGAATATAAATACTAATACTGTAAATAGTACTGAAGCGCATTTTTTGATTTATTTTGAGGAGCGTAATTCAATTACATGCCCGAGAGTTTTGTAAATATGATTGATAATGTAATATATATAATCTCGTGTTACAGTACAACGATGGAATGTTATGTTATTTAGAGATGTAAGCTCGTATAACCTTAATCTTGCTTAGAACCGCCAAATTGGAGAAAGAAAATTCCATCAGCATAAATTTTCTTTTTTGGACTATAAACTCGTCGCTCGATTATAAGACTGTTTCAAACAAATAAAGCTAAAATATGCTGAAATGAAGTTTCAATTGCTGCGTTTATATTCTGTGCCCATCTGTTATTTTTTTATATTAACAACGAAGTAAAGGTATTGGCTAATAAATATTATATAAGTTGAAATTTTTTTAGTCAAATTAAATGTTAGTAAAATTTGAAAACTTGATTTATGATGATGATCTTACTAACGCCATTGGTGTTCCGGATCATTGTGTATGATCACTGAAGCAACATTTTATAAATTGCAAAGAAAGACGTGCCTTAGAAGTTGTATACTTTTGAAAGAGCATAAAACTCACTATCTTGCGCAGTAAAATACTACTTTTCCAAATGCGCGCCCACCTTTGAGCCCGAACTAAGGTGTGCGACTGTCGACCAAAAGCAGATGTAATTAACCATCCGTCAACAAATCATATTGTGATTTTCCCACTTACACTTATAATATATTCTACAGATTAAATAAGAAAGTTATAGGAAAATAAAAATACAGATTAAAATGTTAAATGAGAGAAGGAATATTCACTTAACATCAGGTGAACCGTCTGCTCGTTTGACAACTTTTGACATAAAAAAAAATATCGACAACTTTAAAGTTTACAGAACTCTGTCACGAACAACTGGACTTGCAGTGGCTAATTTACATGGAAAAGCATCCCGATATGGAAAAGTTACCTGTAATCACACAAAAATTGTTCTGCGAGGGCGATAACACGAGGCAAATCGTCATTTAGAAACTCCTCTAGCCCGCGATCTCAGCAGAACTCACGACTAAGGAAGATTAGAAGAGTGACGATACTCAATACCGTTATACCCCACATTCCCGTGGCCTAAGTCCCAGGGGACAGAGAGAGTGGCTCTACTTGGCTCCATCCCGCGCGACTCCAAAGCGGGCATCATGCCTGCTCGGCGCGGCCGGCATTATGCAATAGACCGGATCACAGTGTGGACTTCTTTTGGCTTCACTACATTTTAAAGACTACGAAAAAAACAGGATAACCCAACACACCGTGGGTTTAGATAGCCACGAAATAAGGTTACGAAATCACTAACCCATGAACGTTATACACGAATAATAAACACACCTTTTTAAACGACGGTTAACAAGTAGAAAAGTACTCACTAAAGATTTTCCAACGTTTACTTTACCACAATGTAACCTCACTATTTGCTTAAATCCAAAGAGGAAAAATTAAATAACTTTTTATAAGGTAAGAACAGCAAGAACTCAATTTTCTAAAAAGGTTGTCAACGCATCTGCAAACCCTCGGGTGTAGCAGATGTCCATGGGTGGCGGTATTCACTTAACATCAGGTACACCGTCTGCTCGTTTGGCAATTTTTAACATAAAAAAAAAAGAAAAGTCCTTTAATTGCTTATTTCGTGAGTTTGAAACGTTTAAGGCCTTATCTCACATAGCAACGTGAACCAGGGCACGTGAAAGTAATTTATCCCACATCTGATTTCAGTAATTGGATGAAGGAATATTTAAAAAAATATATCCATCGTCAAAATTGTCAATATCATTATTTTTAAATTTAACAGTTTAAATAATATTAAAACAGGACCCCGGCTTGGCACTCCTGCTTATACAGGCGTCTCCGCTGCACATATCTTATCACTCATAGCTTCGATCTGCTCACAAAATACATAAGCAATCTCCCTTATTTAACAACTAGCGACCCACCCCGGCTTCGCACGAGTGCAATGTATTAGACATACAAACCTCCCTCTTGAATCACTCTGTCTAGTAAAAAAAACGACTCAAGATCCGTTGCGTTGTTTTAAAGATCTAAGCATACATAGCAACAGAATAAGCGGGACGACTTTGTTTTAAAACTATGTAGATTTAAAGAAATACGTAAATGAGAAAGCATTTAAAAACTTTCATGAAAAGGACGACCCGAATGGCGTAGTGGGTAGTGTACCTGCCTCCTGCGCCAGAGGGTGTGGGTTCGATCCCCAGTACTGGAAAAATATTGTGTGATGATGGTGTTTTTCTAGTGTCTGGGTGTTTCTATATGTATAATATGTATTTATTTACAAAAGAAAAGTATGTTTAAGTATGTTTATCAGTTTTCTAGTACCCATAGTACAAGCTTTGCTTAATTTGGGACTAGAAAATGTTGTGTACAAATGTGTCCGAAATAAAAAAAAATGTTAATCATAAAAGTTTCGTGTTAGAATACGTCGATTTGACCTGTACCCGGTTTCAAGATTAACATACGAGATAACCCTCATAAACCATTACTTAGGTAAAATATGTACATTGTACGTGCGCCAAAATTGAATGATGGAGCATTGTCCGCTAATTTATTATCGCAATTTCGCCGTTGATTAATTATTGTCCCGCTAAGAGCGGAGTGGGCGCTCACGCTCATAATTTATTAATATAATAAAGATCGGTCTGATAAAGCGTTCGTTATGCGGTAACGGAGGTGGAATGAACGAGTGCACAGGTCATTTCGTAATGAAATTAAAAGAATATCCATCAAACAGTTGGTTACGGTTGAACCATACATATAGATACAGTGTAATAGCCACTGTCGACATGCGCGTGTAAAACTTGATTAAGTTTGACTTGATTGTTGACAATGATTATTGACTTAGTGTTCGTATAATAGTAATATATCTCAAGATATGATCTTTGAAATATATCTCAATATATCCTTGGCAATGTAGTAAATGCCCTTACAACGTTATAAATAAAAGGCTTTGTGCACTTTGGCAGCAGTGGGACGTTTATAAGCTGTTAATTAAATTGTTGTGTGTAAAGCTTATAGGATTGATTACGATAGATTTTATACTAGTGAGCTCCCTAGGTACCGATCCCGCTAATCAAACTCAACAACAAAAAGGAAACTCTAACAGAGTTTGCTTTCCGATAGTAGAAACACTGAAAATTAATTTTACTGATGAACGTAGCCTACGTAACTTAAACATGACTTTTATGTGTAGCTCTGTTAATACAAGATTACAATCGTGATAGAAATCTGCTCTAAAACTTATCCAAAATAAATCAACAGAAATAACCACTGGCATTCCAAGCTAAGTTTCAAAAATACATGTATAAAAAATAATACATAATAAATAAAACATAATACATAAGTAGTAATAATACATACATAATAAAGTAGTACATGTATAAAAAAAGTCATGAAAAAAAGACCTGTATGTAGGTAATACTTGTTTTGGGAAAAAAAAATTGCCCAGATTCCACACCTTGACTTCATGGCTTGCAATACAGCCAGCTGCGGCTCCTAAGATAATCGTTTAAGTGATATCGGAAGCGCAGATTAATAGCTAAGCAGTTTTTATAAATTTATCTGATTCAGATTGGTTAATGTTAAACTTTTCATCAACGCGATGATAAAGCAGTTCTAAACTAAATGAGTGGACAAGAATGAATAAGCGATTTTCGGTTTGATGGATTATTTTGACAGATAAAGGGCCTTAACATGCTTTGTAGACGAAAAACTCCCAATATTTTATTCATTTTTACTTTGTGTGAAAAGTTGTCAAGCGAGCAGTTGGTTCAATTGATTTAAGTGAATCCGAAACCGCCGCCCATGAAAATGGACAAAAACTGTGGGCTTTTAGATGTGTTTACAAATTTTAAAAAATCGGGCCCCGATTACCTTTTTTTAGTTTATTAGGTAAATTACTTTTTATATATTTTTATTGTTTATAAAATATATAGATTCATAAAAACATTATTGAGGGCAGAGGTAATAAATAAGATAATCGTGTGAAAGATTAAAAGTTTACACGAAAACTTTTAAGATTATTTTTTATTAGTCGTCTTGAAAAGCCCACATATTTCAATCGTCGTATTTTTATACATCGTAACAGCTCAATATGAATATTGTGGGCCAAAAAAATTGTTTGCGGTTCGTTATAAATTGGTACCTCACTCAGCAGACGAAATGTAAAAAGTATTAGACTTCTACTTAACGCGTTTTTAATTTTTTTTTTTTGTGTGGCCATGGTATTGTCTCAGACGAGACATTCCAATCAATAGCTCTTGGGTGGCCCTATCATAGTCAAAATGTAATACGAAAATAAGACAAACCTCGGCTTTTGACACTACTTACTTGAACCGATAACTGAATGATGACATCGGGCAATTATTGAATATTCATTCATTCATTCGGATCTCATTCATTCGTGCTCACTGAACACAACGAAGAGCGTTTCCGCTCACCGTTTCGTTCCACTTCAAGCCCGTCACGGTGGCCGACTATGTTCCGGTGCACTGAATAAATCAGCGCGTCGGACACCTTGTAAGCTTTTAGACCGCTAACAACTTTACCTCGTTCGTACAAGCCCGTGGGTTCTGGCTAGCCCACCGGTTCTGCGTCAGATGAAGCTTTAATAGTCTCGGGACTGAAAGCACAAACATTAGTTAATACAAGATACCTCGTTCGTATCCAAAAGCACCGATTAGATTAAATCTGCACCCCAGGTGGATATTGTAGCTCTTGGAGTTTTTATTTTCTATGTGAATGAACTTTAATATTCAGGTCACGATTCAACTATATTACTAGACTTAAAAACTTTTAGGAAAAAAATTTAGATTGGACAATCGAAAACACAAACTTAAAAAATAAGTAGAAAAAAGTTAAAATTTGTAGAAAGTTTGTCGCCGCTATGGGAATAGAACCACGAAGACTAACATTCTTGTGACATCATTATTT